TACCCACATGATAGCTCACAATTATCTATAACTCCAGTCACAGAGATATGGTACCCCCTTCTTGTTCCATGGGTACTGTACCCACACACATAAAAAAGAAAAAAAATAAGTAGCCAGGCTTGGTGGTGTAAGGAGTTTCAGGCCAGCCAAGGGCTGCAGAGTGAGATCTTGTCAGGGAAAAAAAAAAAAAAAAAAAAAAAAGATTAGTTTTAATTTGCATTTCCCTGAAGACGAAGAATGTTAAACATCTCTTGTTTGTTTGTTTTGGTTTTATTTTTTTCAGAACAGGGTTTCTCTACACAGCATTGACTGTCCCGGAACACGCTCTGCTCCGTAGACCAGGTTGGCCTTGAACTCAGAGTGCTCCACCTGCCTCCGCTTGGGGAGTTCTGGGATTAAAAGTAAGCACTACCAACAACCACCACCTAGCGGAACATTTCTTTTAAGTGTTTCTTAGCCATTTGTGTTTTATTTTTTAAAGAACTCTCTGCTTAGTTCTGTATCCCATTTTAAAATTTGTTTTCTTGGTGTCCAGTTTTTTTTTTTAGTTATTTTTATATTTTAGATGCTAACCCTCTATCAAATTGCCTGATATAATGGTGTCCTTTATAAATAAATAAAATTTTAAATTAAATATATAAATAAATAAGAAGCACACATCAACTTCTGGCCTCTCCTTACACATACACATGCATATACTCTACACACGTGTACACACAAAAACATGAAAAGAAGAACACATTGATCAGACATTTATGACCTTAATGTAATCAATCCCAGGTTTCTTCTGTGTTCTGCCATAAAGACAAGCTCTTAGTCATATGCTGTGTCACTGCTGTGGCTGGGGACAAGGACATGAAGCGTCTATGTCCAAGCCCCTTGGCTCAGATGCTGTCACCATCTGTCACCATTTCAGCCAGTCAGGAAACCCTGTTAAGTTCCCTGCTTCACACAGGGTCGGGATGAAAATTCAAAGGAAAGCACCCCCAGCCCCAGAGCCTGACATTTCAGCCGCACTCTGAAAGCTCAAATCACTTCCTTTCCCACCAAATCCTGTGGCTTGGGGGCAGCAAGGGACAGAACTGGAAGCTGGTAGGATTGGCACCTGTTTGCAGCCAGCTGCCTTCACAGCAGCTACCGGACAGCAGAGGGAGCACTTCCTTCCAGGAATGTTCTGAGTCTAGGGAAGCCATTCGGATATGCACTTGGGTTGAGGAATATTAATTCTAAAATTAAGGTTTCTGGATTTTTTTGGTTCACAAAAATATCAAATGACAATTTATTAAATGTATAAAGAAACAATTGAGGAAATTGCAGTGCACAACGCCTGTCTGCGCTCTATGCGCTACAATACAGTTTCCGAGCTTCGGGCAAGGGGCTGGAGGTTGAAACACACAAAGACTCACACAGAGACAGAGACATGGACCTCTAGTCACTGATAAGAAACCCTCTATTCAATAGCACCACGGAGGCTTATATACTCAACAGTCAGGTGGGCCAACAGGTGAAAACCTTATCCTCGAGGCAAGGCAACACGTGCTTGTGAAGAACAGCTGGTAAACAACTGTGACACATCTTTCAGTAACTCAAATCAGAAGGAAAGTAAAGATCACTAATAAGGAAGAGCAGCTGGAGGCCAGGACTCCAAATGGTCCCAACAGGAAATTTTTAAAAATACCCACAAACCTAACATTAATATAACAATGATTAACACTGTGTTAAAAAAAAAAACACACACACACAGAGATGGGGGAGTTAATGTTTATTTTACATGTATGGGTGTCTTGCAAGATTGTATATCTGTGTGTCACCTGCATGGCTGGTGCTCAAGGCAGACAGAAGAGGGTGTCAGATTCGCTGGAACTGGAGTTACAATAAACAGTTTTGAATTGCCGTGCGGATGGTGAGAATCAAAACCAGATTCTCTGGAAGAGCAGCCAGTTTCATGTCCATAACTGCTAAGCCGTCCTTGCAGCCAGAGAAGTTTTTAAAGACAGTGAAACTGTATTCTCTATCCTCTGCACAATGTGCTTGCCTCCTTTTAGTTCAGGACTTCAGGCTCCGCTCTGCTTCCTGTCTGCTGTGAGATGGGACAGCACTTTTCTCCCCCTCACCCACCACCATTTTATGTCATGAAAATTTCTTCTACAGGCTGAAGAGATGGCTCAGCGGTTAAGAATACTGGGTCTTGCACAGGACCCAGGTTCAATTCACAGCACCCAAATGGCAGCTCATAATCATTCATAACTCCAGTTCTAGGGGACCCAGTGATCTCTTATTGCCTCCTCAGGTGCACCTACAAAACACTCACACACATAAAATACATCTTTTTCTTTGTTTCTCTGTGTAGCCCTGGCTGTCCTGGAACTTGCTTTGTACACCAGGCTGGCCTTGAACTCACAGAGATCCACCTGCCTCTTCCTCTGCCTCCTAAGTGCTGGGATTAAAGGCATGTGCTACTATCCTCTGGCTAAAATAAATCTTTTTCTTATACTTTTTTTTAAGTCAATGTTTTAATGCGGTGAAGATTGTCCTTGAACTATTAGCCAAGATGACTTTGAACTTCTGATCCTCTTGTCGCTGCCTCCTGAATGCTAAATTTGACCACATCCATTATGTAGTGCTCAGTATTCAACCAAAGGCTTTGTACCCAAAAGCATTCTACCTAGCTATGTTCCCAACACCCCATAACATCTCCTAAAATTGTTCTGTGTATGAGTGTTATCTTGGTCAGGGTTCTATGGCTGTGAAGAGAGACCATGACTACAGCAACTCTTCTTTTTCTTTAATTTTTCTCTTTTTAAGTATGTCATATTTTTATTGAAAATGTGAGTCTATTATTCTAGCAACCATGTTCATTTACATTGTCAAGTCACATGCTGTAATGAGTCACTCTATGCAATACCTCCCACACTGCACAGGAAACTCTACATTTTACGGATTTACAGTGTTAAAGTCAAACATCTGAAGTTTTATAATGCTTTCTTTCAAACATAATATGGGGAATAGCTGACACTCTCCATGTCACAGAAAAAGAAAATTAAGCAAAAGGTGAATATGAAAACTCTGCTTACAAAAGCCTCCCAGTGGCCCCAAACATAGGCTACATAAACAACTAAGGTTTACTGTGGAAATCCCAAATTCTCATGCGATGACTACAGCAGATACTAGGGCCATGCTGATGTTTATTAATCACCAATGCAAACATTGCCCTCAGGATACCTGTAATGCTTCCACTTATGAGAACAGCTGCAGAAAAAACTCTTGCTTACACCAAGCCAAGGTAGAAAGGCAACCGTATGGAGGTATAATAAGGGTCCAAGACTACGGCAACTCTTATAAAGGAAAACATTAAATTGGGGCTGACTTATAGTTCAGAGGTTTAGAGCATTATTGTCATGGTGGGAAGCATGGTGGCATATTATAGGAAGACATGGTGCTGGAGAGGTAGCTGAGAGTTCTTGTAGCATGAATTCCAATTGGTCTTAATAATAAAACCCTGAGATATACGGGTTAATGCTGAAAGACCAGAGAAGCAGAGCAGCCAGCCACTAGTTCTTACCTCTACTGAATCATCAGACCAAAGCGGCAATCCTGTCCCTACACAACCTCAGCATATCCTGAATGCTGTCTCTATGAAACCTCAGACTGAATTCTGAGTTCCTCTCTCCACCCAACCATATCACTTCCCTTCTCCACCTCCCTAGTGCTAAGATTAAAGGTGTGAGCCACCACTGGTTGGCTCTGTTTCTCTTTTAGATCAATTCAATCTCCTGTAACCCAGGCTGGCCTTGAACTCACAGAGATCGTCTGCCTCTGTCTCCCTCTGTCTCTCCCTGCTGAGATTAAAGGTTGTGGCATCACTGCCTGGCCTCTATGGCTAACTAGTGTGGCTAGTTCCACACTCTGATCTTCAGGCAAGCTTTATTTGTTAAAGCACAAACAAGATATCATCACAGATTCTACATCTGGATTGGCAGGCTACATCTGGATTGGCAGGTTACATCTGGATTGGCAGGCAGCAGGAAGACAGAGTGACAGTGGGCCTGCCATGAGCATCTGAAACCTCAAAACCAACACCCCCCCCCAAGGACATACTTCCTCCAACAAGGTCATACCTCCTAATAGTGTCACTCCCTATGGGCCTATGAGGGTCATTTTCACACTGTATATGTGTGTGTACGTCATGTGTGTACCTGGTGCCTATGGAGGCCAGAAGACAGTGTTGGGATCCCCTGGAACTTATTTACAGACAGTTGTGAGCTGCCATGTGGGTGCTGGGAAGTGAACCCAGATCCTCTGGAAGAAAGCTTGCTCTCTTAACTGCCAAGTCATCTCTCCAGCTTCAACATCACTTTAAAATGACTCTTAAAGTAACCAACATGTATAATTATTAACAAGTTTCAATGGATGTCCTAAAATAAATCTTTCTATATAGTTACCTCAAAAATAGATAAAATCTGATGAGTTCTGGGTCAAAGTCTATGCATATTTTAAATTTTTAGTTATATTTATTCATATGTTTGTGCACATGTATAGAGGTCAGAGGACAACTTGTGGTCATCAGTTCTCTCCTCTTACAATGTGAGTCCGTACGCTTGAACTCAGGTTATCACACTGGGTAGCAAGCACCTTTACCTACTGAGCCGTCTCACTTGCCCTGTATATTTAAAAGTATACAAATGAAGTCACCTTGTCTTTGGGAAAGATCATGTGAAGGTGTGCTTCCAGAACACCATTTTTGTAGTCTCAGAGTCGGGGAGTGATTTTGACTTTCTGAATGCATTTATCAAATATAGTGACAGCTTACTCTATGGTTATTGGCCTCTCTCATGGGACTCTCCTTCAGAATTCATGGCCACATCTGATGCTGGCCACACCTCTAGCCCCAAACACCGCCAAATCCCTGACACCCGTCTCAGCTGTTGCACTGAAAACTAAGCCTGGAGTCCTCTGAAATCCTGAGACTGCCCACTCCAGCGTCCCAGGAAGTCATTCCAGCTCACCAGTGCCTGAGTTTGCATCCCCTTCTGCAGAGGGCACAGCCATGGCCTGTAGTTTCCGTGGGGGAGTCCAGCTTGGAGGTCTGCTCCTCTCTGTTCTTGGCTGGGTATCCTCTTGCATCACCACCATCCTTCCCCAGTGGAAGACTCTCAATCTGGACCTGAATGAAATGGAAACCTGGATCTCGGGACTCTGGGAGGCATGTGTGAGTCAGGAGGAAGCTGGCACTGTGTGCAAAGCTTTCGAGTCCTTTCTGTCTCTGCCCCAAGAGCTACAGGTAGCCCGCATCCTCATGGTGGCTTCTCATGGGCTGGGACTGTTGGGACTTCTGCTCTCTGGCTATGGATTGGAATGCTTCCAGTTTCACAGGTCCAGAGGAGTTTTTAAGACTCGGCTGTGTCTTCTGGGAGGGGCTTTGGAGGCATCAGCTTCAGCCACTACCCTCTTTCCAGTCTCCTGGGTGGCCTATGCAACATTCCAAGACTTCTGGGATGACAGTGTCCCTGATATTGTGCCACGGTGGGAGTTTGGAGATGCCCTGTTCCTGGGCTGGGCTGCTGGGCTTCTCCTAGCTCTGGGTGGACTTCTCCTTATCATCTCTGCTTGCCTGGGAAATGAAGAAGTATCTTCTCCCTGGATGGCTGCAGCAACAGCTCCACCAGTCTGTGTTCCAATAGAGGAATTTGATGGGTCCTTCCACCTCACACGAAGACCGGTGAACCAAGTCATCTAAAACTGGAGTCTTCCCAGAAATCTCTACAATAAAGAAATGCCAGTAGGCTCTTTCCCTAGGAGTGGTCACTATCTGATTTGTCAAAGGTCTCATTATCTTGGTGGTTTGGGTGCTTCACATGAGTATTAAAAATCAGGACAGTTTCTTACAAACATATTTATCTCACTTGAAATTTTATTTACATAAGAAAGTGTTTTCAGCTGAGGGTAGTGCTGCATGCTTTTGATTTCAGCATATGGGAAGCTGAAAGAAAAGAGAATTTAAGGTCAACCTTGGTGCACGGTGAAATCCTGTCAAACTTCCAGGAGAAAAAAAAGTTGATCATGGTGTCTCTCATTTGTAATGTTAACATGCAGGAAGCTGAGCCAAGAGAAATGCCCTAAGTTCAAAGTCAGTCTAGGCTAGTGTGTTGAAATAAAACAAAACAAAAAAGTCACAGTATTAACTATATATTTAATCACTTTGATTATTTTATTAAGGAAGATACTTTTATACGTTAGTCACCAGAGATAATCAAGTATGAAGAGACATTGCATGTTTAGCTAGAAATGTTGATGATGTGTTGGCAAAAAATGCATTATTGGCCCACAATGGCCTCTAGCATGGGAGTCCTCAGGTGTATGACTTGAATTATAAATCTCTGCTGCTTGTAGCTGAGCAGTGCTTCTGAAGGGCACAGCTTTGCTTTGTTTCTGCTTCATCATAAGGCTGTGATGGTCCCACGTTTCTCCCTAAAAGTAATCATCCCTGTGAGTGAGTAGTAAGGTGCCCAACCTTTCTGATTTGTCCAGGACTCAGTACGTCCACAGTGAAAACTAGCCAATTCATAGGCACACTGAGACAAACTGGTCCCTCTAGGATAGTTGTGCCTATTACCACCTGAGGCAGACTTGTGTGCATAAATTCTCAGTTCCAGAAAAATGTCTTTTACCATATGCTTCAAAAGCACACTATAACTCTTTTATTAGGGAAGAGGATTTGTTTCAGTAGATAGAGTGCCTGCTTGCCTAGCACACAGGAAGTCCTGGGGTCCATTCTCAGAACTACGTAAGGGCAGGTGTGATGGTGCATGCCTGTGATCCTACCTAGCGTTTGGGAGGTGGAGGCAAGTTCAAGGCCAGCCTAGGCTACCTGAGACCTTGTTAAAAACAGAGAGGAGGGGGAAGAAGGGAGAGAGAGAGACAGACAGCACAGAGTGAGAGAAGAGAGACTTTGGTGCTATTATCTTATTTGGGGCTTGGGAGATAGTTTAGTTGTTGGAGCATCTGCCTGGCATGTAAGATCTTGGATTTGATCTCCAACACCATAGAATAATCACATTTGCCAAAGCAGCTAAGTCAGCATCCTTTTTATTTTTGTTTACCGAGACATGGTTTCTCTATGTAGCAGTCCTAGCTGTCCTGGAACTCACTCTGTAGACCAGGCTGGCCTTGAACTGAGATCCACCTGCCTCTGCCTCCTGAGTGCTGGGATTACAGGTGTACACCACCACTGGCCAGCCACCAGCATCCTTTTTCAAAAAGCCATTTCTCCAGGCTGACAAGAGGGTTCAGTGACTAAGGCACTTGCCACCAAGCCTGATAGCCTGAGTTTGACCCCCAGAATGCACATAAAGCTAAGAACTCACTCCATAAAGTTGCCCTCTGGCCTGCACCACTGCTCCATCATCACACGTACACAATAACAATAAATAACATTAAGAAAAATGTTTACAAAAGAAATGGGTGTGGCTGTGCATGCCTTGAATCCCAACACTCAAGAGGAGAGGCAGGTGGTCCCGCCATCAGCTGTCAGTTCAAGGCTGAGCAGGTTTACATGCAGAGACTTTGTCTTAGAAAAGAAAAGAAAAGAGGGAAGAAAGGTGGGAAGGAGGAAGGGAGGGAGGGACACCCGCCACCCAGGAAATGGAGACTGCACAAGCATAACTTCACCAAACACTGACATATACAGAGGCAACCATCAGGAGGGAAATAACCCTCTGACTAGGGTGTGTGCATCACAGCTTATTCTGTCCTTAGTCAATCAGAAAACTATTTCTGATGACTATTTTTCAGCTATCCTTTTTCTCAATAGGTTCAAAGTTTGATGGGCCAAGCATCAGTAAGAGGTAAGGCTCAAGGAGCCAAGGATTTCCTGGTCCCTAGAGTGTCTGCTTCACAGAGCCACCACTCACCTATCTGATCATTTATTCTCTCCTCTAACAAAATATTTATAAGCACTTACCATGTTTCAGGTACTGTGCTGGGAATCAACTGCAAAATAAGACAAACTGTATCCAGGGGCCTCGTTCAAAGAACACAGGCATTAAAATAAAATCACTCCAATCACTGGGTGGTGGCACACACCTCTTACTCCAGCACTTCAGAGGCAGAGGCAGGTGGGTCTCTGAGTTTGAGTCAGCCTGGTCTACAGAGTGAGCTCCAGGACAGCCAGGGCTACACAGAGAAACCCTGTCTCAAAACCCCCGGCAGGGGCGGGCAGTAACATCACACAAATCAATGCAACACCACACAGTTCAAGATAACACAGCAGGAGAGAAGTCTTCAGAGCCACAGCTGGGCACCCCAAAGAAGTGGCATCTGTAGAAAGGTAGGGGTGAAATTCAACATGAAGAGGAAGAGGAGGACAAGGCTGACAATGCAGGAAGGCGTTAGACCTTGCAGCACCCTCTGGTTCATGATAAAGATGATGTCACCTTTCTCAGTATCATAGGAAGCCGACCCATAGAGCACCAGGCCTGGTAGGGAACTCAGCCCTCCAACTGTAGCCTTTCAGATAGGCTTGACCCTGTCACACAACTGGCTGGGGCATAAGAGCTTTTGCATTCTTGGGAGGCTTATGGAAGAGCTTGAAAGGATTTTGGACCAGAAGAGCAGCTAGAACTATCCATTTTGTTAACAAGGGGGAAATGAGGCAGCACACCTGGGGCAGCAAGGAGCTAAGTCAAGATTTGACATTAAGGATGCCTTTCTGAACCCCATCCTGTTTCACCACTGGAAGGGCACCTACACAACCCATCACACCCAGAGACCCACACTGAAAATCTCCCTTCACACTGTTTAGCCCAATCAGGGTCTTTGCAGACAGCTGGTTCACCTGCGCCTGCTGGTGGCTTTCTGGTCCCCTCATCTTAATCCCGTGTTTGCAGGTGTTGATGACATATATCGTCAGCATTCAATTACGGCTTTCTCTGCAGGGAAAATATCCTGTCTCCCAAACTCTCCTTTCGAAGGACATGATGGCATGGGCTAAAAAGAAAGGCTGCCGCTTGACATGAAATAGCATGAACAGTTTATCATTCCCAGGAGACTCAAGCTACCCCTGAATGGACTGCCTCAGTGGAGACTATCCACCAAAATGCCATGATCTTTACCCACCTGTTTTGAGGACCAAATCAGAGTTAAAAACAGAACTAATTAAATCTTTAACAAGGAATTTTCTCACAAGCTTGTAAATTGTTCTAATTTAAAACACTTCTTGGGCCACTGATGTATCTCTGTAGGAACTACTTGCCTGACATTGCTGAAGCCCTGGGTTCAATCCCCAGTAGAACACCCTTCCCCTCAAAAAAGAGAAACCTATGAAATTTCTCATGGAAAGATGAAAAATCCATGTTTCATGTCTAAAGTCGTTTTGAAAGGCTGATCTAAAACCCCCTATGTAGCTGAGAAGTTAAGCCCCCTGCCACCATCTCTAGCGTGGTCTCCGGCTTTAAACCAGACTTCCGTGTTGCCATGGAGGGAACTTATTATCTCACCTCAAGCACAGTAAGCATTCTGCATGAACTGCAGAGCCAGGAAGGCTTAGGACCCAGGAGGCTCAGCTTCTAGGGTATTCTTCTTGTGGCCAAGAAGCTAGCAAAGGGCTGAAAGATGGTCTCTCATCATATAGCCCTTGCTAATTGCTTCCTTGTCTAACGTATCTACCTTTCTTAAAATATGTAGGGTAAAAATGAGCTTTAATGATTCACCTTTTTTTCTCCCTAATTATTTGAAGTGCTAGGACTTGTACACAGGATCCTAAGCATGCAAGTTAAACCATCGAGTCTCCTGTTTTTGGTAATTTTTGTTTGATTTTTTTGTTTTTGAGACAGAGTTTCTCTGTGTAGCTCTGGCTGTCCTGGAATTCTATAGGTCAGACTGACCTTGAACTCAGAGATCTGCCTGTCTCTACTTCCCAAGTGCTGGGATTAAAGGTGTGCACCACCATCACCCAGCAATTAGTTCTAAAAGGAGCTAACCGATCTCCAGCTAACCATGTCTCCACAGCACGTACTGAGGTAAACAAACACGTGCTCAAACACTTCCCTCTCTCACACTGGATTCGTCCTCTTCTCATTCTTTCGCCCTCAGCATTCTTATCCCCAAATCTTTAAAAATGCTGAGATGTCACATCACAGCTGCTCAGGAAGCTGAAGTCAGAAGACCGGACTTCAAGGTGAACACAGAACAAAGATTCTGTCTCAAGAGTTAAGAGCCAGTGAGATGCTTTAGTGGGTGAAGACACTATATAACCTGCCTGAAAACTTGCAAAACGGAAGGAAAACACCAACTCCCACAGGTTGTCTCTGGCCCCACAGCATATTATGGGGACATATATACACATCAGCTAAATAAATACAATAAAAAAGTTTTAAAATTACATTAAAAGCATTTTAAGCTAGGAGCAGTAGCTTATACTGTAAACCCAATATATGAGAGGTGTGGAGGGGGGGGAATGGCTGCAAGTTCAGGGCAAGCCTGGGCTGCAGATAAGACCCAGTGTCAAAAAAAAAAAGTTAAGAGTCAATAAAAACACAGAAACATTCTAAGCCATAGCCTTTGCCCAGCAGTTATCAATCTTCCTGATACTGTGACCCTTTAATACAGTTCCTCATGTTGTGGAGATCCCCAACCATAAAATCATTTTCATTGCTACTTCATAACTGATTTTGGTAGTTATGAACCATAATGTGAATATCTATGCTTTCCGATGGTCTGGGAAAGGGTCATCCAATCCCCAAAAGGGTTGACTCACAGGCTGAGAACCACTGAGCAAGCTGGAGT